AACACGATACCAAAGACGGTAACCTGTCGTCTGGTTCCAGGCAAACAAACCGCCACTTCAAAACTTTAGTGATTGAAAAGAACAAGACACTGACACACAAAATATAGATACAGAATGTTGAAAATACTTTGAAAAAATGTCGTCGAAAACAAACTGCAACCCAACGGTAATTCATGTTTATGGCTACACTGCTTGTGACTCACTGTGTAGCCCCCGGCACACGCACAATTCGACTGTACATTCTGGCTGCGCGCGCATCCGAAATGTACAGTCAGCAGTTGGCCGCTGCTGTCTGTTGAGTCTGTGCGCATGCGCAAACTGTCAGCTGCGCAGTGGGAACTGTCTGTACGTGTGCTAGCTGCTGTTGCGTGAGGTGACTTATCAACTACTTTCCGTATTCAAGCCAAGCAGTCTCGTTGCGTTGCGTCGGTCTCGCGGCATATCTGCGCTATTGTTAACATTAGTTCCCCTTCCTCCCATGAAAAGACGCTCGGAGCGTTAAGGTACGTTTCCACAGGGCGCGGGCGACGTGAATATAGCCGCGCGAGGCCAACCGCTGCTGGTTCGCTCGACCGGGATTATTTTTATGACTGTTTTATTTTTATGACGGGATTTTTTTTTATTATTTTTATAAGTACGGCAAGTCGCGTCGTTAACGTATGCGTTACAATTGCTGCACTGGGTTACGCGAATAAACCTCGCACAGGCCCGAGGGTTTATGATTCTCACCCACGAAAAAATCGGATTTGATGCCTCTCCTCCATCCCAGAGTCAACGAAAGAAGGAAGACGTGAAAGAAGGAGGAGGAGAAGGAAAGGAAGGCGATGACGACAAGGAAGAGAAACAAGAGGGAGTAGAAGAAAAGAAAAATTAATAAAGGAGAATAGGAAGACGAGGAAGAAGAGGACGAAGAAGAGGGGGAAGAAGAAGATAGGTAAGGGTGACCTCGACGACCACAACGAGAAGTTGGGAAAGAAGACGGAGCTTTCTGGGTTTTTTTTAGGAGTGGGATATAAAAACAAGGAAGATGAAGAAAAAAGACAAAGGAGAAGAAGAAAAGCAGCAGGAGAAGCAGAGGGAAGAATGAATGAGTCAAGAAAAAAGAAGACAAATTCTATCGAGAGGAGGAGGGAGAAAAACAAGAAGAAGGAGAAGAAGAATGCGAAGGAGAACAAGAAACAAGAAGAGGAATAAGATGAAGAATAAGAACAAAAAGAGGAATACGATGAAGAACAAGAATAATACTAAGAAAGAGAATACTAAGAAATATGAGTTAAAGAATACCTACGCAGAAAAAGAAGAAGAAGAAGAATGGAAAGAAGAAGAAGAAGAAGAAGAAGGAGTAGGAGAAGAAGGAGAAGAAGAAGAAGAAGAAGAAGAAGAAGAACAACAACAACAACAACAACAACAGCCACAACAACAAACAATAACGACAACAAAAACAACACGAAGCTGAAGGAGAAAAATATGAAGAAGTAGGAGAAGAAGAAAAAGAAAATTACGGAGAAAAGGAAGAAAGAAAACGGAGAAGAAGTTGAGAAAAAGTAGAAAGACTACAAAACAGAAAAGGAGGAGAAGAGGAACACGGAGAAGATGAGGAATAAGGAACATCGAGGAAATTCTCAATATTAAATAAATAAATGAATGAATAAGGCACATGCAAGAAATTTTGGGGGCCCCCGCCCCCACGGTAGGCGCTTGATGCGATGGCGTATATCTTACGCATGCTGACTTCGTACCGCCCGCGTTCTGTGGGACCGCAGCTCCAGGTTACTAAATAGCGCCGGATATGTAGGCTCAGGTAATGGGGGAGGGGGCCCAATGTGCCAGCTTTGCCGCCACCGCACCACGGTACCGTGCGTTGAGAGGACCCGTGAAGGGGCGCGGTGTTTTTTTTTACGTTCGTCGGCCCATCTTCATAACAAAAAAGTGAGTAAATACACAAGGAGAGAGGAAAAAATAGGGGAAAAGTACCTGCTCCTCGATTGTTGAATCGTTATCGAATGACCTTGATCGATATATAGCATTGTTAAGATAGGGATTTATCGATCAGAAGCATTCGATAACGATTCAACAATCGACCCGCAGGTCCGTTAGAGAAACACCTCTTGCACCTGCCCGATCTTCCCTGTTACGGTCCATGAAGAGCGGTGACTGCTAGCGATGATTCTCGCAACTTACAATTAGTGTCACGGTATTTTACCCATTTGAATGTATGATAAACGATCGATTCCAGATGATGGATTTTGTATGAAAGGAAAACAGTCTAACCTACTTTCGAAAGTACTTTTCTCTCATAGCAAAAGATACATTTCCAAAATGAAATCGTTTTATACAGTATTTTATTTCATCAAAAGGTTTCCTTTCGACATTTTTTTTTTTTTTTTTTTTTTTTTCATACGTTGCTCATAATTTCTTTTCCCACACTGAAAAAACACTTCGGCCGTGAAAGCCGCAATTACGGGCTGTGCACACACTGTTTGTTCCGGGCTCGGATGCCAAAAATTCCGGGTGCAGCCGGATTTTTTTCAGTGCACACAGGCATTTACTAAAATGTTTGCAGAGATACTTAAATGGAAATTATCGGGAATTTCATTTATGAAATCACATTGTTTGTATCCACGAAAATGAATTTTGGCAGCATGTTTATTGACCTACCATCCGAGATGCGTGATCTAGTCCCAACATTCATATGCAAATTTTTACCGAACAATGATGAGATACTATGACGGCACAAATTTTGCCCCCGGGTGACACGCTTCCAAGGTCATCTCAGGCACTAGGATTTCCCATGAGATGCGCAATTTAGAATGTTGCCCGTGAAAATTTGAATATGCACGCTAGGCGGTGGCGCGTGGCGTGTTTTGCGATATATCGATTGATCTACCATTTAAATCTACGTGAAAGGATCGATGAACGGGGTGTCCACAACAAACACCTCAATAATCGAGTCTTTATCACAGCTTCAAATGGGGAAATATCGAGTCGATCATTCACGCCTCGCCTCTGGTGATAGGAACGTGACAAGTGCAGCCTCGACACATCTTCTTTGGTATTATCAGTGATAAAACAAGTTCAGTGCATACTCCATGAACGGGATACTATTACATACATTGGAATACCAAGCGGGTCAAGCATACATTTTTGCGATCAAGTTTTTAGATCACGTTGAACTTTATACGTCATTACTCCAAAAATCCCTACGTATTTATGAGCACACGTAAACAGCAGATTCAGTTTATGTTCCGAAAAATCACGAAAGAGACGATCTCCTGCCAATCTTCAAAAACAAACGTTTTCGTCGGAAAACTTCGTTCGTTATCGTTCGTTCTTTCGTTCCTTTGTTCCTTCGTTCCTTCGTTCGTTCATTTATTTTTTTCACTCTTTTATATTCACCGCTGAAGATTTTTAAGAAATAAAACCTCTAATCTTTTTTTTTTTTTTTTTTTTTTTTTTTTTTTTTTTATTGAGAGTTTAGTGGCTTCTATTCCTTTAGGAATCTACAGCCATCTATAGGCACTATTTATTGTCCGAAGACATCAGGGAGTTTGGTAGACATCCATGCTCGGGCTTACAAATTTTCACGGATTAAGGCCGAGCGAATTCTGCTTACAGATCCACTCGTCAGTTCCATGAAAATTTGTCGCCACCACCGGGATTCGAACCCGGGACCTATTGACCTAGAAACCTCTAATCTAATAGAATAAAAGGGTCAGTATTTCTGTAATGTCGAGCCCCTAAACTGAAAAACAAATTCCGGCCGCGGAAGCATAACTTACGGGCTATCGCTATATAGACATACCGTCCGCGCTCCGGGCTCAGAGGCCGAAAGTTCCGGACGTAGCACCCGAGCAATCGAGGCTACGGCTCCAGAACCCGGAACTTTCGGCATCTGAGCCCGGAGCGGACGGTACGTCTATTTAGCCGGTAACTTTTTTTCGGTGTGCACTCAAGTTTGATCAGTGGTTTCATCCAAAGGCAGATATTATAGTGGTCCCGAGAAAGGGGGGAAAAAAGTTCTTGAAAACATGCAGGGCCGGATATACCTACTTGCCGCCCATGGGCCGCTAGTATTTTTCCGCCCCCTTCTCATTCGTTTTGAAACATCAATGAAAACCATCAAATGAACGTGCCAGCGGGGGAGGGGTGCATAAGACGCGTTTACTGGTGTTGAACACATTTTTTGGGAAAGCCCTATCAACACCACTAGCAAAAGTTCATGGAACTTTGCGCGAAAGTTAAGTTTCGTAAACCTATCTCTGTATGGACAAGGCCTTCTATTCATAAGAAATGAACGGAAAAATTATGAAAGAACAAACATAAATGTGGATTAATGATTTTAACTTCCGCCGCCGCGCCTCGCAGACCGCACTGTATTTGACGTAATGCGTGAAGTATTCACGCAGTCTTGTAGGCGCTATGCGTCTCACGCTGATCGCACTGTGTTTGCCGCAATGCGTGAGATATTCATGCATTCTTGTAGGCGCTATCCGTTTCACGCTGTCCGCAATGACCGCACTGTGTTAGATACAATGCGTGAAGTATTCGTGCAGTCTTGTAGGCGCTAATATGTGTTACATGCCGATCGCCGCGCCGAGGGTTTCTCCTTTTCATCTCAAGTCCTCGTCATCATTTCTCTCTAGGTAAGTCGCGCCGTTCCACGCCAAATTGCGTTTTTGGTTTCTCCCTTAAGTCGACTAATGAATAAGATGCTGCCTTTTGTATTACTGAAAGACGACAAAAGTAGAAATTACTATACTCTCAGAAAATTAGAGATTTTGTCGCCTTTTCTCGTTTGTAATTTTTTTTTCTAAATCCGAATTTTCTTAATACCTACATTTTAAAAAATTGCAAAATTTGCCGCCCCCTATAGATTTGCCGCCATGGGACGCGGCCCAAGTGACCACCCCTTAATCCGGCCCTGAAAACATGAGCCGTATATTTCTAATTAATCTCCGATTAATGCCTTTTGTCCTAACTGTTTAGTATAGGTTACTCACTCAGCATTTATTCCGGTGGTTGCAATGACTCCAATAAATAACAGTAAAACGCTCCCAGCAGGACTCTTCCACCTAATCGCCATTTTTTAAACCTAAAACAGAGAATAATTTTCAGATAAGTTGCATGCGGTCAGGTGAGACATTTTTACGTAAATAGATTTTTCATGATTTCCAAGAAATAAACTGTGAGTAATTTATAGTTAATTTAAAAAAAAAATGAAAAGCAACAGTGAACTGGCTTAATAAGAAATAGTAATTTGTTACCACCGTGAAACACATTAGGGCTAAGCAGGAGTAAAAAAGAGCATCACATTTTTTCGTATTCTTTGTCGGATCAGTGCAGAAGTGGCAAAACTACGGCGCGCAAGTATTCGTGTTCCCAGGCCGCTCAAATTGCCCTCACAATTATTGAAGGCGAAATCGACGAACTGTAAGACACGCAATACGGGAAGAATTAACGTGTGTTCCTTGCCTCATGAAAAGTAAAATAAAACACCGAAAAAAAACTCCGGCCGTGGAAGCCGTACTTACGGGCCATTTAGACATACCGCATACCGTCGCTGCGTTCCGGGCTCAGCACCCGAAGCAACCGAAGCTAGGGCTCCAGCACTCGAAACTTTCGGCCTCTGAGCCCGAAACGGACGGTATGTCTGTAAAGCCCGTAACTTTTTTATTTTCAGTGTGGGTGTTGATACTAAAACAATACTGCTTTGGGGAGTGGGAAAGGTCAACACCGCAAAGAATCAGGTTTCGATCAGTCCGGTCGCTCGAGAGAAGTTGAAAGTTTGCGGAGCGAAGGTGTTCAAGTAAGTTCGTCTCGGGTCAAAAGCTCACCGGGCGAGGGCGGAAACCGAAAGCTCTTTGACTTTTCGCGCGGGCCGGGGCCCGGCGGGACAGGGAGGGGGCGAGGGGGGGCCCGGGTCCCTGAGAGTAAGACCTCAAGAGTCGAGTTTCAGAAGCAATCCTCAGTATGGTCCAGAGCGGTGCTAATTTATCAAGTGGCTGTAAATATTTGCTCTACATTCACACCGTCGCATCGTTCGCTCCGATTGCTTAACCTGTATTGGAGTAAACTGAAGATACCGAAACCAAGTTGCAAAATGTCAGTGCTGAAAATGTGAAAATAATTATCTAGTAAGCTATGTTTCAAAAATTCTGCTAGAATAAAAAGAAAAATCAAGAGAGTGAAAAAAAAAAAATCAAATAAAATAGAAGTAAAAGCAGACAGGGTTGCCACAGAATTTGGACAATGGAGTTTCTTGACGCTTTTCTGATTCCCCTTCCACATTTTGGTGAAACTCTCTCACAATTTAACAAATTTCCGATTGTTAAAACGACACAGTTAGAAATAGTTTTCGGGCGATATGTGTTGTTCGAAACGTCAAACGCACGCGAGAAAGCGAATGAAGGTGATTTGACGCTTCACCCCTGACATTTCCAGGTCTTCCCGGACTTATCAAAATTCCCTGACATTTCCCAGTTTTCCCGGTATTTCCTGACTGCGGCAAGGCAACCCTGAGTAAAAAGATAACCATGGAAAGAAACAAAGGAAAAAATAAAAATAGAAACTTTATTTTAAAAAAAATGAAAAATAGGAAAAATAGAAAAATAAAGGGGAAGAAGAGGGAAAAATAAATAGAAAAATGAAAAATGAAAATAGGTAAAAACAAAAAATTAAAATAAGATTCTAAAATAGGACTAGCAGAACCCCGTATTTAAGGGAGAAAGATAACATAATTTTCACCGGCATATCTACCAAACTTTATTGTATTACAGTTCCACCATTGCGCTTAGGTAATCATATACGTGTATTTTGAGAGTGTGATGTTACAGATACCTCTATCCTGTTGCATTTCATTTTTTCGAAGGACAAATGGTCATCGTTTCCGTGCAGTTGGAGAATACTCTACATAGCATGCTCAAGTATCTAATTTTTAGCGGCTCTGGTGCTTGCACTAGAGCTGCTATTCCGGACGGTCCCAGCTGGGGAGTATCAATGCAGCATGTTACATTGTAGAGACCGTGCGTTGGTTGATGGGAATCGGCGCCATTTTCGGCTATGTTCCTTGTCATGACTTTATTTTATTGCATACTGTTTTATTGTTAGTCAATGCTATGTTGTGTATTGTATTTTTGGAATCATGGTGATACAGTCAACAATTCAAAACTTGTTTGTGCTTTTATCTCGTGATGGAAAAAATGTACTTTACGTTCAAAATTTGAAAATTTGAATTTTAAAGTTTTCGCGGTTAAGGAAGCTTTAACCACTGGGTTGGAGCTTCCTAGTCATATTACTTGATATCAGCTGATAGCAAACAAAGGTTACCAGGGAAACCGTAAACGTCTAACAAATATCGTGGCCATTGGGGCGATTATTGAAATGATATCGACTGTATGTCGCCGCTTACGACAGGACATAGCCCTATCTTAACTGTGTAATATATCGCAATTCGATATTGTTTTGATTTTTAAAAGGAGCAATTCATTCATACAGTTCCGATTAGTTTTGGCGAACGGGCCCTTAACCTACGGCACTCGGCTCATGGGAATTTTTTAACTTGTCCTGGACGGACTCGTCTGTAGCGCCTCGTTCTTCGTTGTGTGTGTGATTTCGTGAAGAAGTTTCTATGGCAATTTGCTTTTATTTGTGAGCTGTTTTTTCACGGGATTTTTGAATGTTCTGTACGAATAAATTCGGTGAGTACCTCATTTATCCCTCCTTCCAGTAAAATTATTTCAACTTTTCCTTCTCCCTCATTCTGGACCCACTCATGGGCTGATTATTTTCTCATTCTTGAAACTTTAGACTGGCAATTTCTATGCACAATCTATAGCTTATTAACCTATAGTTCACAGAATTGCGAAACTTAAAATTGGAGAAAAATGATGAGTAAATGAAAAAATGGAACCAATTGATGGGATATGTCGCATGCCATTCTGACACAAAATATGGCGTCTATCGAATCACCTTAACTAAATAAAATAACCAAATTTTCAACTCTCAAACTATCAACTATCAACTATCAAATTTCAAACTATCAAAATTTCCAACAATGACAAAAATGATGGTAATATACTTATAATGTAATGAAATATACACGCTCTAATCATTTAATTTGTATTACCTTTATGTTATGTACCTACATGTTATACTATTTTTATAATAAATTTTGCCAACATGCTTTTCAATTCAGTCTACAACATTTCATTCCGACGTGGCAATAACGATTTATAATGCCCCTAATCCATTAAAATGAATTACAATAGTAATGCCGCATTATAATGTCGTATTATACATCGCAACGATTCATGTCCTACTGATTATTGATTATTGTAAGATGAATTCTGTTTTCTCTGATTGTATGTTTCATACGTGCGAAGCAAGTACGGGTCACTAGAAACGTGGTTCGTACGGGTGGCTGATGAAATTGATCTTCGAATACCTTTTGATGAGCTAGGGAAATGGAACCATCTGCATCTCATGAACAATAAATAGTTGCCGTAATTAAGGTCATCCCGTGATTAAGGTGCCGTGATTTAAGTCATAAATTCTTCATCTAATTCTTGATTCATCTCCAAAATGTCTGCTAAAGCTTTCATGCGCTTCTCCTTGTATGCATGAATGAGCAAATTGGGTATCGAACAAGGGGACACTTTTTGAAAATTTAGATGATTCTGGACAATATCGTACAGAAGTCCACGAGCTGCAGATAGAACCATTACCTCTAGCTCATCAAAAGTTATTCGAAGATCATTCAACAACCTCTTTGACAAGTTGCAAAAACTTTTCGTTAACAATAGTGTCACACGGTACTAGGAATATTTACTATTTAACGAACCTTATATTTCCCTGACTCAGTCCTAAATTATAGAAGTATGCGTTACTTTTCCAGCAATCCAAAAAAACAATTATACAAAAAACCAATACCTACACTTTCAGATATAAAAATGCAAATTTTTTGCAGCCTCGCTAAACGACTTATCAACCAGAGATTTTTTAGGAAGCGGACCTCCAAAGAGCTTTCAAAATTAAAAGTATACAACAAGTGATAATGCCATGTATTCGCCATATCAAAGCCCAATACACATTTATACACCGGCTACGTAAATCTGCTAAGTTACAAAACATGAATCGACAGTTGTCGGATTGTACATCAATGACAAAATGTGTCTAGGCCCTCATTCTTGACTACAACTACTGCCCCCAGAGCCGCTCTCCGACGCCAATGCGTTGGAGCTTCCTGCTTGTTTGCGCTTACGAGGGCCAGCAGCGTTGTAATGCATTTTAAAAATTCATTTCTCAGAAAATTGACAATGTCGGATTAAAAATTAGTAATAGTATACCTCATCAGCATAATAGGCAACGCTGGAATAAAGTTGAGGCGTAGAGGAGAAAGAATCAAAGCTTTATTCATTGTTACGTAAGACGGATACTAAAGCAAAGCAATCATAACGCCTGGATGCAACTATTCGAGCTTCATGGATGTCCGTGTTGCATACACACGAAAAAGAAGGCGTTTCACAACTTTCGACACCAACCGCCTCACCAGCGCAACGGCGCGGCGCTCGCTGGAACGTGTCAATGAGAGAAAGCATACAAAATTTGGAACATTACAAGCTCATATCTACGTTATAATGGAATGTAGAAGGTTTAGAGAGGGTTGCGTTGATTTTTTCGTTAAAATTCCTCCACGAAGCACATCACACAATGTGTAATGTGAAGAAAATAACATCAAAATTTACAGTTTTAGTCGAAAATTTTATGTCCGAACACTCTGACAGACTTATTTGCGGCGAGCTTTGCTGATAGGATTTAAAATAACAGAGTGTCTCCAATTTTTTATTTATGCTTAGAAGGTATCTGTCAGGCATGAAAAGTATAGCTCTGCTAAGCATGCTCAGCACAACGCGATTTTTAAAAACTGAAGCACAAAAGATACTTACATCTTACGCCCGTATGCAGTTACTCGTGCCTTCAGGAGATATTGTTGTAGTATAAATAAAAAATTGAAAGAGATCTGCTATTTTGTATCCTCGCAGTAAAACCGGCCGCGGGTGAAGTGGTAAGTGCTTGGGTAGTCAAAACGCCTTCAATTCTGTACGTATGCAACACGGACATCCATTAAGCTCGAATAGTTGCATCCAGGAGTTCAAATGAGTATTCGCCGCATGCAACACTATCTAGGGGCGTTATTCTCGTTTTTCTTGCACAGTGACTTAATGCCAGCGTTGCCTATTTGTGCCGATGAAGTAAAGTATTCTTGCTTTTTATCGCAACATTGTCCATTTTCTGAGTAGTGCTTGATTGCTTAAATACATAACAACTTCGCTATCCTAGAATGGGCCCTGACTTCTCCGATCTAAAGAGCAATGAATGCGACAACGTCTTTCCATAGTCACCTCAGAAAAAATCATATTTCTCCTGAAAAATGTTCCTCCGTAGATTAAGGTCGTTTTACTTATGGACGGTCAAATAATGGCTTATTTAATAAAATTCATATTGAATAGGGAGGTGCGCTCCCTGAACGCCTCACGGTCTAACCCTCCGACTCCGAGGCGCTTCGCACCTTAGGCGCCATGCGTTGTGCGTTGCTCATATGATTTTATAACATGGAGTAAGATTTTAGGTAACTACGTATTTTATCGCGCAAACTCTAAGTCGTATGCTGCTGATTTTCTGTGTGTAGATGACCATTTTTTTGGTAAATGGGCGCGGTGTAATGTACGTCTTTTGTGGGATGTGGGCGTCAGTGAAAAAAATGGTATTGGTCAACTCGTGTATTCTATCCAAATTTTTCAGTATCTGGGACACTTTTTTTGCGATATGTAGTTATTTCCTTATTGTTTCTAAGCTCGAGAATTTCCGTGGGACTTCCCCATTCGACATTTCTTCACTCTGCCCTGAGGCCCTGACCCTCGCAACCCACTGACATTAGTAAGGTCGATCGCCACTGCTCGCACAGTGGATCGAGTCAATCAGAGAGTTAGGACATGAAATTTTTCACTGAAACTGCAAATTTTTATGTTTAATGTTTCACATTTTAAACGTTAAGGGGTGCTCCAACATGAACATTTCACGAGAAAATCAATGGAATTACTTTTAAAATCTCAAAATTTTGTATGAACAAGTTATAAGCTTTTAAAGTTTCTAAATTTTGCCCGACTTCTCTCATCGACTCGATCCATTGTATGGCCTGGCGGAGACCAATAACCGAAAAAACATGTCAGATCGATGGCTAAAGTACGAAACCACGTATCTATGTTTGCGATAATGCATATTTTATTTTATTTTATTTTTTGGTGTCTCCAGATGAGCCCACTCTATTTAGATTTTGGAAATATGCCCAGGTTTTCGCTTTATTTTATATAATAGAATTGTTGATTTTTTTTTTTTTTTTTTTTTTGNGGGGGGGGGGGGTTAGCAATATAATCTTTATAATGATATTTTATACTTGAAAATGGGATTGTATAGCCTAATTCTGTGACTTATCACGAATGATTTGATCCCACCAGTTTGTCATCAATTCTATCAGGCGCTCAGCCTCGGATGTAGCGTATTTCTTAAAAGCTACTCAGGGGGTTATCGACAATAGATTACGGTCCCTCCTGACAGTTTTTAGGTTAAACGCCAGACAAAATTGGTGACTCACTAATGGGGTCGTTCCATCAGTGATAAGTTAAATCAGGAGTTTCGGCACTCCGTATTTTTTTTCTTCTTTTTATTCTTCTTCTTTTTTAAGGAGATGGATCCATCCGTTGGATAACTTTTTCTCATCCGAGACGTGGGACTCATCATCGTTGCTTTTTCTGAAGTAAGGACGTATCTCTGTGTTTACGCTGTCCATATAACTTCATGCTTTCCGGGAATCCAGTGGCGTGGCGTGAATTGCGATGTATCGATTGTTCTGCCATTTAAACCTATGGTAAAGAATCTATTATTAAGGTGTTCGCTGCGAACACCCTGTTCGATCCTTTTCCATAGGTTTAAATGGCATAACAATCGATACATCGCAAAGCACGCCACGCCACTGCGGACTCACGCAAAGTTATAATGTTCCTCCCCACGAACTACAGACCGTGAGGTACTGATCAAAATCAGTAACTTGGTGATTTTAAAATTTTGTGGGTGATGTTCGGCACCACTGTGATCCAAGCTTACGGCTAATTTTCTCTTTCATTCGACAAGATCCATGATTAATTAGTCCTGTTGGCAGAATCACTACTTTATACTGTGAGTGCAAAAATTCCAAATCGGCAAGTACGAGTACGTGCAAAGATTTGAGGATATTATGTAAGTGGTCGTTCAGTTGGTGAATTTGGAGAAATTTTGAAGTGAAATTCTGAGCCCGGGTCTCTATAAAGCCCAAAAATCCCGAGTGATCTGAAAGCGGAGCGAAATCAATTCTCCTCACGGGGTAACTTACACTATTACGAAGCGGAATCTTCTCTTTTTGTGGAGAGTCACAAGTGTCTAAAATTTTGTACATTTCATGATTAAAATGGAACGACTAATAGATTCGGGCACGAGGATATCCTTTGTCTCTACGTTGAACAATTGAGGGGTCTGGAGGACAAGGCGTATAAGTGCAGTTTTTGAAAAAATTGAGATATTGATGATATCAAGTAAAACTAGTCTTAATGCTTCTTCTGAGTGAGATTAGCTTCCAAATTCGATAAAGCATCGAAAAGTCAGTTTGAACTTTCTATCCGCCATGGAGGAGCCATGTAATTTCTAAAAGGCAAAAACATTTCTCGAAAAGGCAAAAACTGCATTTATACGCCTTGTCCTCCAAGCCCCTCAATTATCGAAGAAAATATCACGAAATAATTTAATTTGCTAAAATTCATGTGTTTCAATGGGAAATACCGCCAGATGACGTCATAAGATTTGGCATGTTCTCCTATTTAAAATCTACTTTGAAAACAAAATTAGGAAAAATACTGCGAACTTTGCTCATGCTCATCACGCACTTTCAGATGAAACAACACAATGCTCCGTGCAAATCCTCCATTCCACATCGTGTTCACATCACTCGGGGGTTTTGAGCGCTGCACAGATCCCTGCGAGCTGATTCGCTGATTGTTGAAATTGATAAACAGATCTATGGACAAAGAAGACGTAGGGAGCATGGAGCGATCCTATTGGTTGATGGGTGCGGATCTTATAGACTAAAGGGGTTAATGAAAGACTAACCATAGGGTCTCTCGTGGATTGCCGTTACCTAGTCTATTACCTACCTTCTATGTCCATTGCACGCACTCGCTTCCTCTAAAAGGATTCCTCCAAATCCCTTTTGTCTTCTTTGTCTATCAATTTTAATATAACGATCGAATTTTTAAAAACAAATTTGTTCATCTTCTTTGTCTATCAATTTCAACAATCAGCCCGCTGCGCCGAATTTCACTCCTCCATTTGGACGTATATCTATCAAACGGAACTATGTGCATTCACATGGAGAAAAAATCCTCGTTCGTGGGACCCGAAGTTTAGGTCATATGGATCTCTGAAGTTTTCGGATTGAGCATTTGAACACTTAAGATCTAGCTGTCGAGGTTCGGATCACACATCCGAAACTTCAGTTCTTACATCTGAAGTACTTCAGATGTAAGAACTGAAGTTTCAGATGTTTGATCTGAACTTCGGCAGCTAGACCTTAAGTGTTCAAATGCTCAATCCGAAAACTTCAGAGATCCATATGACCTAAACATCGGGTCCCACGCACGAAGTTTTTTTTCCGTGCAGACATGGGCCCTGATGAGACCCATAAGAATTTATCGTCACCTTCCAGGCAAAGTATCACAAGCGCCATGCGACGTTTTAAAATTTCCGCCGCCATTATATTTTTTTACAGAGAAATTGTTCAACGAAGCTGTCCGAAAATTTCACCGAATTTTCTTTGTGCTGCCGATAAAATTTAGTGAAATTTTCAAACAGATTCAACCAACAATTTCTCAGTAAAAAAATAAAATGGCGGCGGAAATTTTTAAACGTCGCATGGCGCTTGTGATACTTTGCCTGGAAGGTGACGATATGCATAACGGGGCTCACGTCATAATGCACATAGTTCCGTTCGACAAAAATACGTCCATTTTTAACAGTGAAAACATAACATAACCTTACTCTCGACACGATCCGCTTCAATCCAGTCGTCCCGCGCCGAGCTACGCGCGCTCTCGTTCCAGGTCACCGACCGCGATTTTTATCGAAAAACCACCTCGCACAGATCCAATCATCCACAAAACACACTTCACTTCCGACCGAAAATCAGTCAAAAATCAGTCGCCGATCAGGAGAAAAATCTGATCGCCGCGTCCGACGATGGCGATGCAGACCCGCGACTAAACGACGGCGAGCCGGTTCCCAACCGAAATCTCGGATCGGTTTATTCACCGCTGGTCGTTTCTCTGTCTCCCCGGTGGCTCGGATTCCGGAGGGGGGGGGGTTGTTTGTGTCCTGGCTGGATCGCGTGGATCGGTCCGGGTCTAATTCATGCACCTCCGGTGAATTTTAATCGCTGGACGGGGCCTAATGACCCCGGGCGAGGTTGCCGGATTTACGATGAAAATTGTTCGTTCGTCGCCCCGAGGAGCAATTTTCAACGGGAAAATCGCGATATCTTGGAAATAAGTTGCGATTTTTTTTTTTTTTGGGCGATTTTTGGCGAAAAAATCGCTTGAGTCATCAGCATCTGATTCTGATTGATTATTCGCGACCTTTTCACAATTTTATTCTCTGTAAAATCGCGTTTGACAAAAGCTAATTTTTATCTCAATTTATCACGATTTTTGGTTCGATAATTGGACCGCGTGAAGCAGAAAGGAATCAAGCCACATCAAATATAGCCAAATTGAACTGGGGAATTTGATTTTTTTATAAGAGAACGCTTGTGCGGATTCCTTTGAAAATTTTGAGGAATTTGCCTCAAACTATGCAGAAGATTCGCTGAAATTTGCACAAAAATCCACACAACCTTTTACATGTAAAAAATTGATGCCAAAGGAAATTTCGCAATATCTAATGTGGCTTGGTTCCTTTCTGCTTAACTCGGTCCAATTTTGAGATTAATCGCCGTTAATAAAATCGCAATTTTATGGCAAATTTAAGGTAAGAGGAATTAGTTCGGATACTTACCCCCGCCACCCCATCATCCAATTTCAAAAATCGTCAGTGTTCCGGACTTGAAAAGTGAGCTATCCTTTCATTAACCCTGATAATATTTCGAAGATCAGGCCGAGGTTGGAAACGGCCCATAAGGTCCTTTTCGTTGAGTGGCTATGAGGAGATCTTGGGCATTAGACCCAGAATTTGGATGGAAGGGGATAGTTATCAATATTTTATAGTTATCACCTCCTGTAATTATTGTCGCCCGTGGCGCAAAAAGATGTTATCGGGAAAGAAAAAAGTTTTTTTTTTTTTTTTTTTTTTTTTTTTTTTTTAATGTATGTGGAGGAAATTGAACCGTTAATCTTGTAATGCTCAAGACTCTAAGTCCTATCTTCTTTCCTGGTTGTGGTTACAATGTTACTTTGTGTCAATTAGTGTGTGTAATTAGTTCAGTTCCGGTAACTATGCCGCGCTATCCGCAAGACCGAAATACCTAATTTTGGCACAAAAATTCTAACATCCCAAGGAAGTAGGTAGAACATGTGGAATCTACTACGAATATTGTAAAATGGAGAAATTATCTTCTCTCTTAGTAAAACTCGAAGTTCAGCTTTCACTGGTTGGATTCGCCGTTACGGTTTTGAGATATATTTTAGGTTTGGGGTGATTTTAGACGAAACAAGTGGCACCATCGTGTTTCTTTAAAAAATTGCACATCGAATCAGATTCTTGAATTAAAAACGAAAGACTTATGGAGCAAATCCATTATTTTTGACATTGCAAATGGAACGTTAGGTGCGTCAATATGACAAGTACATTTTTTTTTTCTCCGGTAAAAAATGTCTAGGAAGAAAACCATAATTGGGCTTCACTGAAAAAAATGGTATGCTGTTATAGCACCTAGGATGTCAAAAATGTGTCTGGTGATCCTAAGATGCTGCCTTGATTTCCCACGCAGTTGAATTTGCATTCTTAGGATGTAAAGTTAACTGCGGAGGCTGCAAAGGTAGCATCTTGGGATCACCAGACACATTTTTGACATCCTAGGTGCTAAAACAGCATATTATTTTTTTCAGTGTGGAATTATTCCACGATAATGCCGGCAATATTGTTCGTGAATATACTGCGATGTTATTACGACAACATTCCCGCTCCCTGTAGCAGTATTGATAAGAGCGGCACTATAGCAGTGTTATTAGACGTAGTTGCTGATGCGTGACTCCGAAAATGTCGCCATAATCACCTCATTTTCACCAGATTTCATTCTACCATTTTTTTATGTTATTGGTTTTGTATCTATACAATGATAAACAATTGTGTGCGTGTACTCTTAAAATTCATCGGCAGTAACATAGTCGATTTGGTTAGAATGGGAATAAGATTGCATTTTCTCAAAAAAAATTAGTAATTTATATATATTTCATTGAGAGAACGTAATATTGCAGCAACGCTGTAAAAATATTGATACTATCACACTTACACTCACGTGCTAAGGAAAAACGGCGCATGAGCCTTCAGGCGTTGCCAAATTTCCTTTGATAAAACACGACTTTCCCAGAAAACTTGTGAATATTTTCCTTCCAATTTTTTAGACAATTTTGTTTGCAATTTCATCTAAAGCTTCTGAAAATTTCAAGGAAAAATATCGGAAGCTTTCCTCAAGAATAAACATTTCATCGAAGAAAATTTTGCAACTCTCGAATGTTCATACGACGCTCTTCCTTAGCATGGCAGTACAGATATTGATTATTTCGTCGTTAAAAATCAAAAATAGTAGAAAATTTGGAAATGCTGCTGTCAGTAGAAACCACTTTTATGATTGGATTACATTTTGCAATAAGGAACCACTATTTCTGGCCCATTTTTGAAACAACGTACATGCCATTGGGTTCCCAATGCAGGTATGTGCTTTTATGAAAGAGCCAGAGATAATGGGTTCTTTATTGCAAAATGCGATCCGATTAATACATTCCATGCATGAAGGTATTAATCCAGCTCAGTATATAGACTCTTCAAACACCACTTCAATTTTGAGATTCAATATTACATATGCGTAGAAGGTGAGTGACCTGATTATAGTCATTCTTAAATTTATGACCTAAGTAGCCGTTTTCTTCAGCAAACGTGTTTTCCGATCTTCAGCTCTCATTCCGCACTTTGTCAAAGCATAGACTCATTAAGCGCTTTTCATAAATGATTCACATCGATGGCTAAAGTGCAAAATCACGTATCTCCATTCCAAGGTTGCGAAACTGACTCAAGTGACTCAATTTTTCAAAAGAATATGAATGAGCCTAATTTGTTCAACATTTTGATGGTTTTTGCATGTGATCGCAGAGGAAAAGCCTTCAGGCGTTGCCAAATTTCTCTCGACAAATCTTAAATTTTCGGGAAAATTTGTATATATTTTTCCTCCGATTTTTCAGAGAATTTTGCTCGTAGTTTGATCCAAAGTGTCTGAAATTTTCATTGAGAAATACTCATAACTTTCATGGGAAAAAAAATTTCTGAGAGCAAACTTGATCCGAATGCTCATACGGCGTTCTTCCATAGCACGGCAGTATACTGCCGTGCTATGGAAGAACGCCACATGAACATTCGAGAGTTGCCAAATTTACTTCGATAAAATGTTTATTTTCGAGGAAATTTATGAATATTTTTCCTTTAAATTTTCATAATCTTTAGGTGAAACTGCGAAAAAAATATCTGAAAAATTGGGAGGGAAACATTCATAAGTTTACCAGAAAATTCGCGTTTTATCAAAGGAAATTTGGCAACGCCTGAAGGTTAATACGGCGTTCTTCCTTAACACGGCAGTATAGCCATACATGGAAAAAATTATATTGCTGATTTAACAATTCTACTGCTAAAAAAAGTGACTGCAATATTTCAACGTAGATTTCACAACACAAAAATGCTACTTTAACCACCCCCGTGGTTAAAGTAGCTTACAATAGTGGTTAAAGTAGCATTTTTGTGTTTTGAAATCTACGTTGAAATATTGCAGTCACTTTTTTTAGCAATTGAATTGTTAAATCAGCAATTTAATTTTTTCGGTGTACGACAACGTTGCTCGAGGAGTGAGCCTACAGAGTCAGACTGACATGACACCCATGTCGGGTGATACATCTAATAAGGAGGAGCGATGGCTGGGGCTCTGCTTTTGCGAGTCGCACATGTTGGAGATAGAAGTTGAGCCGGTGCATCGTCCATGAAGTGTCGCGACTTTCAAGTCGTCTAAAGTTGGGCCCGCTTGGGAGTTCACGCCAAGTTAAGCTCCGGTTCCGCCACGCGACCCGCCTCCAGTTTCCTCCGATGTCGCCAATTTACACCCGCCATTTTTTCGCTCAAATTTCCAGGCTCCCATAGCGAGAAGAGCACTAAGTGCAAAAATGAGGTTTTGAGAAAACGGACTCAGAAGCATCTTCCTATTTCCGGTTGTCACATTCCATTTGGACCTCATTTTGCAATTAGGAACTACAATTACTAGCTCAGTTTAGAAACAACGTACGTACCATTAGTTCTCCTACGCACTTACGTGCTTTTACGGATGAGCAAGAACTGTAGTTCCTACTTGCGAAATATAGTAAGTGCAAAAATGAAGTTTTGAGAAAACGGACTCAGAAGCATCTTCCTGTTTCCGGTTTTCACATTCCATTTGGACTTCATTTTGCAATTAGGAACTACAATTACTAGCTTAGTTTAGAAACAACGCACGTACCATTAGTTCTCCTATGCACTTACGTGCTTTTACGGATGAGCAAGAAACTGTAGCTCCTAATTGGACTGCATTTTGCAATTTGGACCTATAAATTCTGGCTCATCTGAAAAAACACTTATGTGCATAGGGAAACTAATGGCGCATACGTTGTTTTTAAACCGGGCCGGAATTTATAGGTCCAAATTGCAAAATACAGTCCAATTGCGAAATATAGTCCATTTGGACCGCGTTAAACAGAAAGGAACCAAGCCACATCAGCTATTGCCAAATTTAATGGGGCAATTTAATTTTGTACATGAAAGCGGTTGTGCGGATTTTCGTGCAAATTTCAGAGAAAATTCTCCATGGTACGAGGCAAGTTCCTTAAAATTTTCAAAGAAATCCGAACAAACGTTCTCTCGTAAAAAATTTAATTGCCCAGTTAAACTCGGCAATAGCTGACGTGGCTTGGTTCATTTTTGTTAAACTCGGTCCATTTGTGGTTTGAGTCTTAAGCAGACCAGCTGGATTTGCATGTTATTGCTGCCCCCGTGCTGTCCGAAATTCCCACATTATCAGTGGCGTGGCGTTAATGATCGATTATCGATAAATCCCCATTTGAATTGATGGTAAATAATCGATTATGAAGGTGCTCGTTGAGAATACCCTATTCATCGATCATCTTCCATTGATTTATAAGGCAGATCAATCGATATATCGAAAAGCATGCCACGCCTCTGTATATCATATCTACCTTCTTAATGTAAGTGCAAAAATGAAGTTTTAAGAAAACTGGCTAAGAAGTTTCTGACCGGAAAATTGTATTGAAAGAAGCCTGCGTTCTTTGTCAAATTGCCACTAAACGTCCGAAAGACCCCCAGAAATCGTTTGGATGATTAAAAATCGACCGATTATATTTCAATTACATAAAAAGGGTATTTTTCATTTTCATGTTATAGGCTATTGTTAGGCAAGACAGCCGTCAGTGATATCTTCTGCATGCTTTTGTGGTTGCATTTTGGACATTCTACAAAAACATTTTCGAGCTAGAAATTGGCAGGAAAGGAAGGCATCAAACTTAAAAGCTCTGTTTTCATTGGCTCTCTGGAGGAATAATGTCACTTACTGTTGTCTTGCCTGAAACCACGACGCACTTACAGCTTTCTCATATGTCTCGTTTTAATAAAAATAAGTTGATGAATATCGCACGTATTTTTAACATCCTGGATGTTACTTCAGCAACTTTTTTTCTCAGTGATATTATTGAATCGATCAGGGCGCAATGCATTTAAAAAAGTTTAATATTTTCGCCTGTTAAAAGCAAGAGACTTGCAGAAGGAATGGCGAATGATATCCGCGGCGCAGCACGGAGTCCATGTTGGCAACAGAGCGTTTCAATCCAACCCGTGTAGGGCGTCTTGTATCTTTGTGAAATGAAGGCGCAACCAGTTGAACGGTGCGGCGCGCGGCGTCCGTCAAGTTAAATCGAACAGAGCGACTTTAGCCGAGCGTTAAACTGCTGAAGTACGCCGGTGATGGATAGCCTAAGATGCAGAAGAGGGTGAGAAGGCTGGAAAAAAGGAAAGAAAAGAGGCAAGCAAGTCGAGAAACTTCTAAATTGTTTCCGGTGAGAGCGAGCAAATGGACTGCGGGGGAGGGGGGGGGC